TGGACTGAACAGATCTGTCTGGACGAGACGGGAGTGAGAGTTCGGGGCCGCGAATGTCGGACGAGTTGGCGGCTGACCGCCAGAGTCAGAAGAGTGGCCATTTCCAGGGCGCATCTCAAGGACCGGAGGGTGGAGGCGGATTTAATGTATCCTGTTCTTGCGCTGTGGTCCTCGAATCTGCGAAAGGAACAACAACAAAGAAATCCCCGTATGTATCTCTGATTTTTGCTTGCTGCGCTGATCATGAGAGACAGGGAAGCCGGCCCCCCTACCCCCTACATCCCCGTCAGTCCCTGTCGGCAGGCTTGCAGGGGCTCTCTGAGAGAGAGCAAAGAACCAAGACTAGGCCTGGCGGCAACTAGGATTGTTTGGATCAAATATGCGGAATGGGTCCAGAAGTCAAGGACACGGTGGATCTCCGATTGATTGGTAGTGGCACAGTGTCGGGCGGCTTTTGTTTCTGATTGTCATGAGAGTGGTGTCTCTCTCTCTCTCTCTCTCTCTTCTCCGTTACGGGAGGTGGGTCTCCCAATCGTGCTGGCCTCAGATGAGTCTTCTTTGAACGACTTCTCCTTTTTTGTTTACCTGCTGCTCTTGCTTGTCCGTTAAGGCGGCAGGACAGGTATGCAGTCGTTCCCTCAACGGTTCAAGGGTTATACTGGGTGTGCAGTATCCGTAGAGAAATGGCAAAGGAGGTATCGCGCCATGCCACCAGATACAGATACGACACGCATCGTAAGAATGCATCCGATCCGCGGGACCAAGGCCACACGCTACGGAAGGCAGAGGCCGAAACGTTCTGGATAGCTACGTCGCATATGTCCGTACCGACCGCATAGTATTAGATAAGCAACTCGTTCCATGCATCGCGAGAAGGCAGAACGGCCGTTCCATGGGGTATCCGTGGACGGGAGACAGGCAAGCCAGTCGTCTGTGCTGTATCCAATACGGGATACTCTGGGGGTTAGACCCCTCCTCCGACATGGCGAGCGACACGCACACGGACAACGGTGGACGGTGACTGGCAGGTGGCGGACAGTTCGTTCGCAGGCCTTGCAGAGGAGGATATCGTGCTCTGCGTGAGAACGTACATGATGCAGCTGCAGATGGAGTTGCAGTCGTCGCAACGTTTGTGGGTGTCCTTTCTCAAACGATCTACCAAGTACTCGTAGCGAGGCATCTGTGAGCATCTCTTTTTGACCGCCGCATTTCATTGCCCGACTCAGACATCTTGCGACATTCCTCGAGGGAAAAAATCCTCCTGCGCTGGCTGGCTTCTTGTCAATGTGCCAATGAAGCGTCAGGCTTTGGATCGTCAATACCCGCTCAGGACCTTCACTTCACCATTTTTCCTTGGCCTAGCAGCAGGTCTGGCCTGAGTCACATGGTTTTAAAGAGGATGCAGCTAGCAAACTAGCGGCACATCTCGAGGAGGAACGGCGGCCCAGTCACTCACCCCCGTTTTCTCCATCGTGGCCCTATGGCGTGGTTGGTTCAATAGGGGACCACCTTGGCTCCTCAATTTTTGGTAGCAAGGTAGATTTTTATTTTTTGCTTACCCGTTCGAGGTCCCGCCTCTTTTCGTTTTTGAACCATTGTGGATTCTGGGCCAAGTTTAACGAAACGAGTTTGTCTCTTGTTCCTTTTCTGAAAAGTGACCTGACACTTGGGCGGGAGGAACAAAGGCGCCTGTCGCAAAATGCCCGTAGTGAGATGGACCCCTTCCCCTTTTTTACCCAAACGAGGAGAAAAGGAGGGTTTCCTTTGGCGATCGCCTTCTTATTGATAGAGTCGTGGGCAACGGTTTTCAGGGAACGGTACAGTCAGCGGGTGGGAGGCGAAAACGGTGATGCAGTCGACGGAATGCCTAGCCATGCCGGCACTTGGCCATGTGCTCTCATATGGTAGGGCAGAGGACGACGGTCTGACAGTGGGGGATTGGCGCACATCGTCCAACAGGTGTGTACACGTAAGTAGTGGTGGTGATGATCTATCGGTTGTGTTTCGTGCTCATTACGGCGAGAATACGCCTAGCAGAACTAGATGCAGCCCCTGCGCAGCCTGTGGGAGCTGCCTATCGGATCTCGAGACTCGGGGATTCAGGACTGTTCCAGCAGACTCAGTGCCGTGAGTGCCTCGAGCGGCGATCTCATCAGAGCTGTCTCGACAAAAGGGCGCGAAATGGGCGGTGGTGGGATGCGTGCAGGACCTACATCTCGTGTAGGGTACCTAAGATAGCGGCTAGAGGTGGGCTCCAGTAAGAGTGTGGTTGCCATGCAATGCCTGGCCTGCATGCAATGCACGGGAATGGAGTGCATCTACGGCACCCCTCGAGGTGCAATGACGTTCGTCATGGGCTGGCTGCAGGACATCACGCGAGTCTGGCCGGAGCTGATGCGGTCTCGTTTTAGGATTTTTCTGTGCATTTATGTGTTTTTTGTCGTATTGTTTCGAAAGGGGCTTCCAGACCGCCGAGAGAAGGACCAAGAAGCCGCCAGCGTAAACAGTGTCGTGTAAAAACTCCCAAGGGCCGCATGGCATGGCCTCGTTATCCGCCCATCCGCCCCGTTCGCCCATCCACTTTCGATCGTCGCGGCTTCAGTTTCTGGCCATCGAATGTAACGGTATCCGGTACAGAGTAGACGAGCATGATGCGCTGTTGTCAAAAGGAGGTGAGCGGGTAGCAGTCGCAGAGTCGCAACGACAAACATGTTCAGATACATGGCTGAGCCCACAGTGCGAGTAGTGTGAAGACGGTCCATGGCATGCATCAGTCGATGTTGATGGCCGAGGACCCTGGGCGGTGGTGCTTCGGCATCCCAGGCGGTTTCTGACCTTAATTACACATCCCGTCGGTGATAAAACACAGCAGCAAGCAGGTCTGCGTCTGCGTCTGCCGTGCTGCCGCCGCCGCAGCGAGACTGCGAGAGGAAGAAAGTGCGGTGGACGAGGGCGCCCCTTTACTTTGGGCTCCTCCGAACGGTACCTTATCTTGAGTGGGCGTCCAGGCCCAGGTCCAGGTCTGGGTTCAGCGCGCATCCAAATCACCCAGCCATCTCCCGTGGCCCACCTCGTGGGAGCTGTGTGGTTTGTGGTGGTTTGTTAGTCCGGCCTCGTCAAACGGCGAGTCGGTTGGCTGCTAGGGGTTGCTGGGCTGACGGCGCGTAAAAGTGCGAAGGTGCATCTATCACTGCTACGACCACCCAGCCTTTTGCATTCATGATTCGTATGGTGGTGGTGATAAGGGGCTGAGAGCTGAGAGCGAGAGTCGCATATACGGTATCCGTATGTGAGGCAGGCCAACAAGTAGAGAAAAGCAACTTTTTGGCAGGTTGGAAGAAAAAAAAAACGAAATAGGACGGCGACTAACGTCTGGCAATGGCGGCCAAAGTGGATCTCGCATGGCATGTTCCCGGCCAAGCAGCAGGGTCCAGGCAGGCGCACCCCTCGCCGTCGACCCCTGACGCTGGCCGTACTGTGGAAAGGCTCGCTCTGAGTCGATGGGTACGTATCTCGTCTCCCGTGGTGGGTCTGGATGTACATGCTGCGACGGGTCTTGCAATTTCGTCCTACTCGCTTGCGTGCAGCACGGGCCAGCCTTTCTCGCACCTGGCCAACTGAGCAACACCAAAAGAGCCCAAAGTCACCAACATCGCACCAAGCAACGACAGGGAAGGAGCTACCTGTGCACACTCTGAGCAGCCAGATGCCCATATGGCCCCACTCGCCAATTAGAGTACCTGCGCCAATGAGAGGTACATGTGCCAAAGTAGATTTCCCACGGGACGTGCTCCGTCAAGTACCCTTTTTTTTTTTTCTCTTCCTCTTCCCCTGTCGTTCTGCTTTTGCTGCCCTTTTTTTCTTAGCAGACGATGGGCACATATCAAATTGCATCTGAGAGCGCAGCCAGTGAGTGTACCGTTGACACTGACTGCTGTCTCTGCTTGCCTGCCTCAACGATGGGTGATGCCGGGACCGCCACAGCGAACCACCACCGGGAAAACACCACCCACCCCCCTCCCCACCCAAAAGTATCCGTACGGGACGGAGACCTCACCTGCCCATGCCTGCCAGTCGCACCTTCCCATCGTCGAACCTCACCTTACCTTATGCCTTCTCTCAAGACTCCATTAGACAACCGCTCTTTCTGCCCACGGCGGCAAACCAGACCAGACAATAGACTTCCTGCCGCAGGGAACAAACAATTCCAACAGCTTCTGCTACTTGCCATAACCTTGCTCGTGACCGTTTCATACCGTATCGCACCCAACGGACACTGCTGCCCACCTGAAGCTCTCCCGTCGTCGTCGCACCTGTCCTCCGTCTCGTCTTTCTTTCTGCTCGAGGTGGGCTTGTGCCTACCCTGCCTTCCTCTTTCCCATTCAACGGGCGACGACTCACACTGAACCAGTCATTTTCACTCCCTCATCCCTCCCTTCTCTCTTTCTGCTCTCCCCACGCCCACTCACTCCCACTTTGCACACCACCCACCACTCCCCCTCCTCGCACACACTCCTTGGACGCTTCTTTCCCTGCGCGCACTACGCAAGGTAGCCCGGAGAGCCACTCATCAACGGGGCCACGCCTCTTTTCCCTCCTTTCGCAAGGGACCTTGACTGGACCTGACTGGACCTGGGCCGTGTACCGCGTACCGTGTGTCTGAAGCTCCTCTCCATCAAACCAGGCCTCCTGGCAAGGGCAAAAGCCGCCTCTTGTCACGCCTTTTGCAATAAGTAGCCCCAGCGTCCCGCTCGACCTCCCGTTTTTCTTCTCTCCCTTTCCCGTCTTCTCTCTGCCACCATTCACAGGTCTTCTTTTTTTCTGCCATTATTCCCAAGAGATCTTCTTGAATCCTAAATCAAGAGATCCTTACCCACCCCCCAACCAACGACCATAACAGTACTTTTATTAGTACTTTTGATTTACACCTTTTCATTGTGATACCCAAGTCGACTTTAAGATACCCAACTCCCCTTTTCTTACAACACCACATCAACACAATGGCCGAAGAACAGAAGCCCGTCGAGGTCAAGGAGACTGTTCCTGTCACCACCACCGACGCCCCCGTCGCCGCCGAGACGAAGCCTGCCGAGACCACTGAGACTCCCGCCGCCCCTGCTGCCACCGAGGAGACACCGGCTGCCGCTACCGAGACCACCGCCGATGCCCCCGCCGCTGAGGCTGCTGCCGCCACTGAGGAGGCTAAGAAGGAGGTCGTCCCCGTCGAGGAGGGTACCCTTGAGCACAAGGGCCTCAACTTCCCCAAGTAAGCCCGTCTAAACCGCCCAGACTCGATATCACAAACTTACACGTGCCTCTTAGGAACTTCATCTACTCCAAGGAGTTCTTCTGGTTCGGATCTGACGCCGTCGAGTCCAAGAACCTGTCTTCCTACCTGAAGACCGAGAAGTCTGCCGAGACTGCTCACCACAACGCCGCCTGGGCCTCTCACACCGGCAAGGGTCTCCTTTTCTTCGGTGACAAGACCGCCCCCCAGGGTGTCATCAACCTGGTATGAATACAACGCCTCATCGCGAGTAATGAACAATCAAGCTAACAATCTCCCAGGCTGATGCCGCCGAGCCTGCTGCCGATGGCGCCAACAAGTTCCACTTCACCGCCAAGGGTCACAAGCACGTTTTCAAGGCCGCCAACGCTGAGGAGCGCGACAACTGGATCTCCCAGCTGAAGATCAAGATCACTGAGGCCAAGGAGCTTGCCTCCACCGTCACCGAGACTGAGGCTTACAAGACTGCTCTCGAGAGCTTCAAGCCCGCCAAGAAGGAAGAGAAGAAGGAGGAGAAGGCCGCCGAGACCCCTGCTGCTGACGCCGCTGTCGCCACTGAGACCCCCGCTGCTGAGGCTGCTACTCCCGCTGCCACCGAGGAGGCTGCCAAGGAGACCCCTGCCGTTGAGGAGCCCAAGAAGGAGGAGCCCAAGCGTCGCTCCGCTAGTCGCAAGCGCGCCTCCATCTTCGGCAGCCTGCTGAGCAAGAAGGAAGAGTCAAAGAAGGAGGAGAAGAAGGAGGAGGAGACCGCTACCACCGAGACTCCCGCCGCCGAGGCTGCTGCCCCTGTTGAGGCCGCTGCTGCTACTGAGACTCCTGCTGTCGAGACTCCTGCTACTCCCGCCGCTGAGACCCCCGCTGCCACTGAGGCTGCTGTTGAGGACAAGCCCGCTGAGACCCCCAAGGAGGAGAAGAAGCCTGCTCCCCCTACCAAGCGCAACTCCATCTTCGGTGTCTTCGGCAAGAAGGAGAAGAAGGCTCAGGCCGCTGCTGAGGCTGAGGCTCCCGCTACCCCCGCTAAGGAGGGTGAGGTCACCCCCGCTGCTGAGACCGCCCCTGTCATTCCTCCTGTTGAGGCTACCACTCCCCTCGCCGTCGACGTCTCCAACCCCAGCACCGTCCCCGTTGAGACCAAGGAGACCACTCCCGCTACCAACGGCGAGACTCGCCCCGAGCTGAAGGCCGAGAAGCGCAAGTCTTCCCTCCCCTTCGGCTTCGGCAAGCGTGACAAGTCTCCCGCTGCCAAGTCCCCTGCCCACTCTGACAACGAGGAGGGTGAGAAGACCGAGAAGACCAGCGCCTTCTCCAAGCTTCGTGCCACCATCAAGGGCCGTGGCAAGACTGCCGACAAGCCCGCTGACAAGCTCGAGAAGACTGAGGAGAAGCCCGAGGAGCCCGCTGCTGAGGCTGCGAAGACTGAGGAGACTCCCGCCGCTGAGACCTCCAAGGCCACCGAGGAGCCTGAGAACAAGCCCGAGAACGTTGCTTCTTCCACTCCCGCCCCTGTCACCGCCGCCGCATAGAGTGCTACAACGAGTTCGAAGGAGCTTCCCCGCAAGTGGAGGTTTGAGTACAGCTCTGAATGACCAAAAAAACGAAACAAAAACACATACAAAAATTGCACGCATCGGATCCAAATCGGAGGAAGAGCAACATCACGTGATAACTCATTTCACTTGGATGGGTTTGTTCGGGAATCGGATCTGCATTTCAAGATACCCCGTCAAGACTGGTTCTACCTGATACCCTTTCCTATTTCCCTCTTTACAGCACACGCATCGGAAGGCGAAATTCGGCGGGAGGTGATTCCGTTCCACTTTCAGTCTTTTCGAATCATTTCTTGTCTGTTTGGCTTTGCTTTGTTTTATTTGTTTTACCAGTATCGTGCTTTGATGCTTTGATACCCAGTTATACCCGTCGCTCCAGACAAGAACACGAAAAAGAAAATATCCACGACAAAAAAACGAAGAAGCCTTAGGTCGACAGGATGGACGGACCTCATTGCGTTGGTTCTACTCTCGGGCTGGGGTTAGGAATCGTCAGACTCGAGTTTGGAGATGCTGTTGGTGGAAAAAGATTGCATGGAACCGTCTGTGCCGTGCCACTAGGGCTGGTATCAAATTGTTCGCATTCACTTAATACTTAATAGAAGTTCGTTGCGTCTGCATTCTGTCTGTCAGTGTAATGTGCCTTGTGACCGAATGTAGTGAGTCAGTACCTGGTGCTCGGGGCTCCTGCGCTCAAGCGTACTTCCGTCTCGATCTCGTATGCGTCTTTGACGTTTTGACATGTGCAAACGGTCATGTCGTCGATCCTTGGCGTGCATGTCTAAGCACCCGCATCCCCTCCCAACCTGAGATCTCGAGTTCCAGAAGATCAATAAGCGTGAAACGAATGCTACGCTACGTTTGACACGATGGTGATCTCACAACAGGTCCAACAACACATTTCCATCTGCCGCATTGCCTTGGATGTCGCCTTCTCAGTTTGGGATGTGCTTCAGGAGACTGTTGGGACGGTAAGGCAGATTTTCTTGTCATGGAAGGATTGTAGAACTTGAAGGTTTCGATTGCAGGATGCTGACTGCGGCGTACATACTGCACGGCACGGTGATTACGTACGATATATCTGCGTCTGACTTACGCAGTACGCGTGCGTGCAGGAAGATCAGACCCTGCCCCGTCTGTGGTTTGCGGCGTTCGGAGTTTAGATTTCTCTTTTGCGTCACTCGCGTTCGTATTGTCTCCCCCTCCTTCTTTCTGCAAAGCTGAAGAGGTGAGGCGAAAGGGATGGTCTTTGCGCCTGCAGGTTGAGTATGGTGGGTGGTCACGAGACGGGGCGATTTTGGGTGTTTGAAGTTGTATGCAACCCAGCGTTTTGGAGACGGTCATGCTCTCCAATAGAAGGCGTTTCCATTTTCGGATGAGAGCGAATGAATTTGCAGATCAACACGAGCGTTTGATGGAGGTTGTATTTTCTGATTGCTCCCAAGGCGATGGTGATACGCCGTGGTGAGGCGAGCGATGTTGGGTTGGGCAGGGATGACGAGGGACGGGCATGGAAGATCGCGACTCCTCAAGGACAGAGCTTCAATGGGAAGTCTTTTTGAAATGGGAAGTCGGGAGGACGGATGAACGGTGGGTTGGTGCTTTTCCCCCTTGCCACGCAATAAGACATTTGGGACATTTCACCCCCTTCTTTTGGAAACGGTGGTGTGTTTGCGGCAGAGGTGGTCTCGTGAGTTTTGGACGGGGAGGAAGGGTTGGGGTTCGTCACCAGGCCTCTGCGTTCGGTGGTACACGCGAGATGGGCTTGGTACTTTGAGGTGAGGTACTCATCCTGCTCGAGGGACTTTGCTTCATTGGTTTTTGTGTGCTTGGGCAGCAAGCTGGGAAGGAGCTGAAGGGGAAGTTGGGACCTATGGATGAACCGAGTTCAACTGGACTTTTGTGCTGAGGGGGAGGTGGACGGGCACGGTTGTTGGTTAGCACGTGTGGTGTTGACGTTGCGGAATGGGTTTGCGCTGTTGTGATAGCGGAGTTTGAGGATATGAGGCTGTAGGTGTGATCACGATGTCTTCTCAGAGCCCCTGCTGTACGGTTGTTAATAGGCTTTGGGGTGCATTCTTCACCAATAGTTCCGAACAGACTTCCTAGTCGTTTTCACTCGATCAAGCGGGTCTTAATCGACTACAGTCGGAAATTTTCTGTCAAAGCGGAACTGCTTTTCCTCTAACCTCCCAGACCCACGTGGGGTTTCCGTTATCAAGCAATCAAGAAAGCGTGGTGTCTCGAACCTCGAAAGTGGAGAGGGTCTTTACGTGGGTAGAAAAAGGCCGCTTTACCATGCAGTAGTCCTGTGGGTTTGTCGTTGGGCTCTGTATTAAGGCTCGGTGGAGATTGTTGATCGTGTGTTTCCGTGGTGGAGGTGAGCGTGACGTGTTGATGACGAGAGCGGGAGAAGGTCCGACTTGCAAACCTGATGAATGGCAGAGAGTCTTAGAGTCGGGATATGAAGTCTTCATAGTTCTTCGTAGTAATTTTTCTACTGTGTGCGATTGTCGCAAATGGGACGTCTGAGAACGTGGCCCACGTGAATGATAGCATCATTGTGAAGCGGATTACGAACATGCCCCAAATCGATAGTGCGATGTATTCATATCTCGGCGATATCGCATCTGGAGATTCCGAGTCCATCGTTGGTGGCTGCTTTATCTTCTTGCCAAGAGGCTACCCCGATATTCTCACGTTGATGAGCCTGGAGAATCCCAAAGCCACGATCCTGGGGATGCATGGCTGTACTAATAGAACGGGTTCTGGATCGGGCCGTCGCATGTTTGGTTAAAGGCAATGTAGTCTGGAACTTGATATGCCGCCACCATTTCGAGAAAAAAAAACACCAATGATCTCTCGCCACTGTTCGGAACTATCGCTGCGCCCGCTTGCTTATTTGACCGAAAATAACCTCTCAACATTCATGGTAATTCCGGCAGTCTCTGCGACTCCACGTTCGTGTAAGTCGACGTTAGAAAGGGGCTATCATGGAGACGGGCCAACATGGGCATCTCGACGTACCAGGAACGACTCAGCACAGTTGTCCTGCCGAATGGAGCTTCCCGTCAATATTTCTTCGCCGTAGTCGTCATGAATAACACTTCAAGATCTTCATGTAGAGTATGCTTATCGAGCCGAGTCAAAATACGCCTTCAAGCCACTGACCCGTCCATTCCGGCACACCATGATAAGCTTCATGTTGTGCCGCGCGGGGGGAGCCCGAAAGGGTTCCTCTACTTCAATAATATACAAACCAATCGCGTGCCCTCTTTCCCTCGGAGACAGTAAATAGCTTCTTAATGTCTGAAATCGTTTGAAACTCCATGAATTGAAACGGGAAACAACGATCGTGATGCGGATCTACGGCCAACGCCCCGTCGGATGGAGGATCAACACCCTCATCTGCGCCATCCTGGTGTGGTTGATGACGGTGCTGCTGTGGGTGCTCCTTCTGACGTCCTTCTCCAAGAACCACGACCTCTCGGACATGCCGCCCTTCTACGCCGCCGACTGTCAAGACACACGCAGAGTCATGGTTGTTGTCCGCCTCCTCGTCGGCGCCCTCTCGACGCTGGTCATCGTGTCATCGTACATCTTCATGCAGCTGTTGGTCAGTCCGACACGGGAAGACGTGGACAGGGCCCACGGGCAGCGGAGGTGGATGGACATCGGGTGCATGTCCGTCAAGAACCTGCGCTTCATCTCGAACGGACGGAGGGTTTTGTTCGTCCTCTTCGGGCTGATATGGATCCCTTTCCACCTGCTGGCCCCGGCGTCCGTGGCCGAGACGGCGCGCACGACGCCGTGGGTGACGGTCCTCGCCACGGAGTCCTTCTTGTCAGGGGGAAATTATCACCTGCCCGGCCTCGGATTGGGAGCGTACCTGCAAGACACGCCTGGCTTCTATCCAAACCACCTCAACATATCTGTTCCGGATACGGTGGAGTATATTGCTGCCCACGCGGCCGGGTGGGAGCGTCTCAGCGGCAGGGAATGCTTGCAGAGGTACGAATATTGGGTCAACGTCGATAAGAGACGGCACTTGGTGGCCGTCATGTCTACGGATGATTGGGACAGCGACTTCCTTGACAGCCTCTCCAGCGTCTGGTACGCTGGCATCTGTGGCTTTGAGGCAAACAAGCAGAACCTGCCATGCGGCGGTCTGACCCTCGGCTTGAACGTAACCTCGGAGAGCGTCAACGGGACGTACAACGGTGTATCCATCGTCTCAGACAACAGGCCGAGAGTGCCCACCAGAGGAGCATCGAGCAAGGCCGAGATTGACCGGATGGTGGACAAGCACGACAACTGGATCATTCCATGGCACGCCAAGGACAACATCCACAGCACCCCGGTGCTGAGGAAGAATCTGACCGTCAAGTACTGCCTCTCCGAGCCGTTCCCGACTCACTGCAAAGCCCGCGTCAGCAACACGCTGTTCCTCGCTATCTGCCTCCTCGCCCTTGCGATGAGCGCCTTATGCGCGCTTGCCTTGCGCATTCTCTGGGGGCAGGACCGCCTGGTTGCCATCGGCGACGCCGTGGACTCCTTCATACGACGCCCGGATATGACGACGAGGGACATGTGCACGCTTGGCTGGCGCGATTTCTCCTCGACCACTATCGAAAGACTGCAGAAGCCGATGATGGAGGGCTGGGTCCACAGCCCGCGACAATACGTACGGCGACGAGGACGCTGGGGAGATTCCGTTCACGTCTCCGACTGGGTGAAGTTGCTGTTGCCCGGGGGCGTGGGCTTCATCATCTGTCTTTTGTCGTTGATTTCCTTCGTTGAGGCAGGGTGAGAGCACCTCGTGTGTCATTCTGAACAGCTTCGCTAACAGGCAGATACCAGGGGCGGATGGCAGAGGGCGCTTTCTGCGAGCATTTTCGGGCAGAATTCCAACAACCCCATCCTCATGATGAAGTATCCATCCGAGAATCTGCGAGCCTTCATGGACACGCTGGCTT